TTTTGACAAAGTTCAAGATCTAACATTGAAAAATAAAAGAGACAAGGGCAGCGCGATGTAAGTCATCGAATACGCGTCCCATGGTAATGAATATTAATGAGAGGGACCGGGTTGCGGTGTCTGAAATAGATCTCGTTTTAAAAATAAATGGCGCACCCTGCGGTCTTCGTTAAAGGAATATCCGTGTTTACGAACAACGATAGGATGCCACCTTGCGGCACGGAAAATTATTAATTACAGGCTCGGCCAGCCGAGTGAAATAAAATGAAAATTTCTTTCAAGGTTCAGAGAGCATTTTCTCGAACGTCACAGCTCGACAACTTCGTTCATATATGGCACATTCATACATACGCGTATGCATAAGTCACTCATATCGCACACTATAATCTCACATTTATACGTGTGAGTTCATTTAACCAGTAGGATATTCATGTAACGTCTGCCCACCAGGTATTGCGTTTCAGAATAATGTTAAATAAACTGTTCTAAAAATAAAGTTTGAAATATGACAACGTACAACCTGTTCCCCGTATCATCATTGTTGATTTTACTGCTTTTTGAAATATCGTGTCAACCTTTCTTTAATAAATTATAACTTTTGAACTAAACAACTAACTGATCAAAATGAGCATTGTGGGTGCTTAAAGTCGAGACATAAGAATACCTAATAAAAATTATTTCAGTTAAAACAAAATATTTTTTTAACCAATTATTTTGCAATTGTTTTAAAGTACTGCAATTTTATAATTACGGGTCACTATTGAAAAATTTGAAAAAAATCAGGATGTAGTCCTATTTGTCCTCTTTATGGATAACATTTAAAAAATTTTTAAATTCTCACATGCCCGGTTAAGGATTAATAATAATCTTCTCAGTATAAAATAATTGCAGCTCTATATTCTTGTATGTTCAGTAATGTTCAATCGAATGTATAGATGAGTAACATTCGCTCAGTTAATGTTGCATTGTACCTAAAGTAGAACGCCAATTATTCGAACTATTATAATAGGCAGATGATTCTGTTCTGCACTGTGTCATTTTGCAATGAAAGAAGGAGCTACGTTAATAATTTTGATTCATAGTAGTAACATTAAATATACCTCTTACAAGTAAAATCCCTTATTTCCTGTGCAAGGACCTAATGTTATCAAAGGCATTTGCAGTCTTACAATGTAATGAAATAATACTGCTGGCTTTAACATTGATACACTTTTCATTATTTTCTTTAATAAGAATAGATAAAACAATATCTTCATCATCCGAAATATATTACCTATTTCTAACTATTCTTGAATACTCTTACAACTTCAATTGTCAAATCGAGTAAACTTTATTGTCGCTTAAAGCATTGTGCTAACTTAATTCAAGCCAGCTTATAATGTTGGCCAACTGACTGAATCTGTGAAAATCCTCTCGGAATTACAAGCATTTTTTTTCACAAGATACAGAAGATTTTACAAAGTTTTGGATCATTTACTTCTTGTAACACCCAAGATAAAGTATAATATCTTCACCAAACTACTCTCTAGTAGACTTCAATAGACCTTTTTTTTTAAAATTCAAAATTTTTACAAAATTTCTTAAAATTTTAATATGGTTTTCTCTTCTCTATCACTTGTCATACGCATTTTCCTTCGTTTTTCAAAATTATCAACATTCTTTGCATCCGTATACCATTTCACTCATCTCCTTACAAACTCGTTTGACTTTTTTATGTAACGAGTCGCCGTTGACAAGATCAATTTATTAGTGTAGGGGGCACGCACTCGCGGGGCGATACACGCATTAACGCTTTTCTCTTTCGTGACATCTATCGGCGTGTAAATTCGCTAAGTTTCATGTCCCGCGTAAGCGTCTATGTAGTTCGTTTGCTTCGCTTCGACGCAATAGTCGCGTGTTAATATAATTCTGCATTTTATAATAATAAACTACTCGTTCATTATATTCATTGTACGTCACTTCCGACCACGGATCCTCTCCCACACAATTTTGGTTCGTTAGGTTGTATGCAAAGAAACACTGCTTCAAACTGTTTAGTATACGCTGCATTCATTTTGAAATTCGAGTGTTTACAATAACAGACGAAGCCGAACTGACAGAATCTTAATGACGTGTCCGTCGCGTCGTAGTGTTTTAGATGTAGGTATATTAGAAAAGTTTGCTTTTGAATTTTTGAAAAATATCAATTATTTTCCCAGATACCGTTCCAACGCTCTTGTGGGAAAGACTGTATATGGCGACAAAAAGTGCACAATGCGAAGTGATGAGAGAGTGCAGATGCTGTGTACATCCTACCCTTCCTTAATTATTGTGATAGATGCACTCTTTTTTTTACTGAACCTAAATTGCTTTTTTTTTACCGAACTTCTTCCTTTCCATTGCATCTCCTCGCCGTGTAATGAAATCAGTACCCTGGCATCTGCCAGCGAGACGTTGGCTTGTAACGTTAGTACTACGCACCGTTGGATTACCAGAAAAAATTTTATTTGGCCCACGCATACTCTCAAAGTTGACTAACATTTTTTAACATTCGCTTACTGCGCTTCATCTTTAGAAAAAAAGGAACAAACTACATGAAAATAATTTTTGAATTCCTGATTCAAAAACTAGAAACTTCAGGTACAAAATGGTCGTATACAATATTTTGTATAACTATTTTTCGCGGAGATATAGTCATTTGAAAATGACCCATATATTCGGAAAATTTTAGTGGTCCCTTAATTTTGACACCCAGTGTATATGTATATAAAAAATAGCTACTAAAAGTTTCAACAAATTTTTTTATTCTCTAAATAAATATATTAATAAATGGACAACAGTTCATGTATGTTGAATATTTCGTTCACTGAAAGCAAAATTTCCAAAAAATGACCAATTTTTCAGGGCTTCAGAGAGGCAAGACCCCTTAAACTAGTTCTTTTATAAAACATTCAACTGATTCTGTTTTCTGGTAATCGGTATTTAGGACAATCAGAGTTCGGATAAAAAAAATGACACTGTAGCATCAAATACTTCTCCAACTGCGAGAAGCAACATCTCGAGGACTAGATACATATCCACGTATTCTCCCGTTTCCCGTCAGGAAACCCTCGCCCAATGGTGGGTTAATTAACTACGAAATCGTTTTCCCCGGTGCTGTTACTTCTTTAATTCAGCGGTTTCGTTACCGACGCAATTTCCACGGGACTCGTGTTGATTCCGGATTGATTCGATGCTCAAAGCGAGCCAGCGAACACCTTTAGGATACATAAAGGGGAACGGCACGAAATTGCCGCTCGTGTCCTTTGCCGTGACATGGCGAGCCAAGACGTGGAGGTAGAGCACACGTTCGCGCCTCTTGGTAATCAGCGCGTAACAGAAATTTCTCGTCTCGTCATCGAAGCGCCCTTTTCCTCCTCTCCTCTGTAGGGGAGACGAGAAGGAACGCATTATTTTTCCACCCTCCCCATTCGAATTGCCAATGGCGACGCTGCGATACGTCGCGTAGATTTTGTGAACAATGAGTCCGGATAAGGTATTACCCGTCCGATCTCCTGAACAAAAGGGCGCAGCAACTGGCAACGATACATGTTTCAATAGACGTCGAACGCTTTTGATAGATATTGCGTTCCCGCGGCAATGAAAACACCGTTTCCAAGAGTTCGGGACAGAGGGGACGATGATCAGTCGAAATTCGACGTGTACGAGACCCCACGGTCGTTTGGAAATCCGAAAATCCTGGCCGATATTCTCAAATACGAAATTTCTTTTAAGAAACCTTTAATCATTCTACGGATTCTTTCTTTTGGATGATATGGGAAATGTTTTAAGCACAATTTGAATTGTTTCGAAAGAGGAATACCGTGGAAGAAAAAAATCTTTTCTAAAGTCATTTTTCTCGTGTTTCCTCAAGGTCACCGGTGTTTTTTTTTTCAGGGAAAGCATATATTTTGTTCTATTCTGGCTTGTGGCGGATGGAAAAATGCAATTGAGCATGCCTGAAATATGACAACCTTGAACATCAAAAAAGTGATAGAAGAATCGTAATATTTTTTACGGATTGAAGACAGTCATAGTATCGGTTTCGGTTTTTAAAACTATTATGAGTAGGTACTACAATAATGTTATAACTGTTATGGATATAATGGTTCTGGCCTATGTCGGTTTCGGTTTCGGTTTTATACCGGTTCCATAACTGTTATATTTTGGTTTTATATCGATTCCATAACTGTTATTTTCCGGCTTTATATCGGTTCCAAAACGGTCATGGGCTCAATACTGACAATACTCGTATGGACTCTGTAATCACTGAACATCTTTAGTATTACTGTTGGAGATTATATACAAGTTCACAATTTGAGAATTCTGCAATTTAAAAATTTTATAACATTCACAAAGGTTACATTCTAAATATTTGTAATGTTTATTTTTTTTTAAATTTAAAGTAATCTATTTTTTTCGTTTATCCAAAAAGATAGAACCGAAAAATGGCAATTGTAATATCGGGCCTGAAGAACCGCAACCGATATGAGCGAGAACCGTTATATCCATAACAGTTATAACATTATTTATGTTCTCATAACTGTTTCAGTCGGAACTAATATACAGGGTGAACACGAAATACCTGCAATACTTTCGAAGACGATAACTCTATCAAAACTCATCGAATTAAAACAATTTTTATTTTATTTTAAAGAATACAAAACGCTAAATAAAATTGTACAATAAGTATTCAAAATGTCCTCCTTTAGCCTTCACACCAGCTCTGAGACGCTTATTAAAATTATTTGCGTTCTGCCTGTCGCGCAAATGCCGGCCCAAACCATTTCAGAAGTCGGAAAATAGTGACGTTGCACAGAAACTCGCCTTGCTGACTTATTTGAGTTTCTTGGCAACAATTGTCTATCGTTCTGATGGTTATGACATCGCTCAATTGTAAACATTTTTTCATCGATAAAAAGCACAGAACGGTGACGACCACACGCGACCAGCTGAAGCAACTTCCTCGCTTTCTTCCTTCGCTACTTTATCATTTCTTCCGTCAGATAATGACACCGAACCAGCTTATAAGAATGGCATTTTAAGCCGTTTTTGACCATCAATCTAAGTGATTCGCGGTTAATGCCAATGGTTTTAGCCATTTGTCGCATTGATTGGACAGAATTGCGATAAATTTGGCAACGTATTTTGTTGAGATTATCCGAAGTAATAACTGTTGGTTTTCGTTCCCTTCCTTGTCTATCTTCACATCCACCAGTCTCCTTGTATCGTTTGATAGCGTCGTACATGGTTCTAAGTGGCATTTTGAGCAGTTTCGATATAGCTTTTGCTTTATGTCCCTTTTTGTACAAATTTATAGCCGAGATACGAGCTTCTTTCACCATTTTTGAATCGTATAATGTCATAAAAGTTCGTAGAGGGCAGCACTAGAATATACAGAATTTCCCGCGGAATTCAAATATAGCATTCATTGTAAACGAAAAATAATAAAAACAGGACAAACACCTGAGCAAAAAAAATTGCGAGTATTTTATTGTCACCCCGTACATATAAGAGTTTGGAACAGTTATTTTTGGAATCCGTTTCCACCCCTGGTTTTATTCCAATGTATCGTGTGGCAGATGAAAAAATGCATTCGAGCATGTCTGAGTTATGACCTTCAGGTGACCTTGAACACTAAATACGTGATCGAATTCTAAGAGAGTGTCGGGATGGTACGTGAATTTACTGTTCTATGTCATACACTATGCATTTTCTAACACAAGCAATCACGAACTGTGATGCCGTTTCAATTGTGTCTGATGTGATCTCAGTACAAGCTGTGATTATGCTATTCTTCGTATCTTTTGGAGTGGTAGGTAGCAGTCTGTAAACACCGTAAACGCCACTCCAGAAGGTACGAAGAATCGTGTACTTACAGCTTGTGCTGCGAACACATTAGAAACAATTGATGTGTTGTTACAATGCGTGATTGCTCGTATTAGAAAGTGTATTGCCACCGATGGGCATCACTTTGAGGATTTGTAATATAAAACAGTAAATTCACATACATACCGTTCTAATAACACTGTCTTAGAAATCCATCACTTTTTTGGTGTTCAAAGTCAGCTGAAGGTCATAACTCAGGCATGTTCGAATACATCTTTTTCATCTGCCACTCGATACAATAGAAAAAATATGAGGTTTCCTGCGAAAGAATACCGTTGACCTTGAGAAAACGCGGAACAAATTACCTTCAAATGAATTTTTTCTTCCATGATATTCCTCTGTCGGAACTATTTAAACTATGCTTAAAACATTTCTCACGTCAATAAAAAGATGGTATATTCAACTCTAGTAGTTGGAGAATAATGAAAACCTGTATAAACATGGTTATGTCTACTTCCCCTGCCTCCAGCATGGACTCAAACTCTATACATATATTTACGGAATTCGCTTCTCTTCATATCATTGCTCTTAAGCGAGTATTTTCTACACAGCATTGTTATCTCAAAAATTCAACGGTGTTTCTTATTCTGTTCACCATTGACTTTTCCCTAGGAAATTAATTATTTTTAAAATGTCATATTTAACTATTCTGTTACTAAATGCAGATGTTTGCACAGAAATTATTTAGTCTGATGAGATCCGCCTTTCATTCTAGAGAAAAGTTATAGCCTTGAGTGTCCTTAAATAAGCTATAAACAAATGAGCTACTACTACCTGCTACTCGATTTGTTATGAATTTGCAAATCATAAGAGTTCCTTTAATTGTTATATTAATATTTACGTGATACATTACGTTGGTAGTAATATTTATTCTTTAATACAGGATGTCCCAAAATTGGTGTAAGCCTTTGCAATTCCCGGGTTGATTTGAAACCATATTTTCCTTAGCAAAAGAGTTCTCTGAGGCCTTGTTAACGAGATATTAACGAAAAACTTTGACCAATCAGAGCGCGAGTCTGCTGGTTGAGTTAGGTACGCTCTCGCGGTAGCGTTGGCTACGCGCTGCGCTTATACTATGAACAAGCAAGTCGGCAGGCATAGAACGGCACTGCGTAAAATATCAAATGAAAAATTGGCGAATGAAAATGAAAAGTTTGATTTTATTTGTTACCTCTCTTTCATTTGCTACTCTACACAGGTTTCATCGATCCATGCCGACTTGCTCTCCGTAGTACAAGCGCAGCGCTTAGCCTTCTTTACCGTGGGAGCTCAAATGGCAGCCTCGCACTCTGATTGGTCTGGTTTTTCGTTATATCTCGTAAACAAAGCCTCGAAAAACTTTTTCGCTAAGAAAAATGTAGTTTCAAATCAGCCCAGGAAACACCCCTTCCAAGGACTTACAACTATTTTGGGACACCCTGCATATTGTTTTACATGTAACCTTATATTGCTTATAAAGTAATGCAAAGAAATACAAGAAGTATTAAGTTCTTTATCAACAATATTGTCTCACTTACCGTGAACGTGTAATTTATTTCCACCGTTATTGTTAATATTTTTAATGTAAATAGTTTAACATTGTGTTTCAACGAAGTAAAATGCGTTTTGTGTTTTTTGTTCTGAATAACATGAATTTATGGCCATCGAGGTCGCAGACTGCAGCGACAACGGAAGACAACCTGTGAATTTTAACAAACATGTTTACTATCGCACCACAAATAGCTGGAAGGTCTAACAGCTTTTCATTTTCATTTCAAGGACACATTATTATTGACCCGTGAGGGAAAACAGTTTCACATGTATGCAAAAAAACATCGACAACCTCGAAAATTCCGTAAGAAAAGGCCTTGGAATGAAACTGTTCTTTGCAGCATATTCGTCCCTTGATAACATTCGAATTATACATAAAATGTTATTTGTATCATTACATCCCAAGAACATAATTTTTTTTTTATTATCAGAAGGTGTGCGGAACTCTTTGGTCCTCTGCAATATACCCACTTAAAAACATTCTCCATGTCGACTCCCAGACCCAGCCCAGCACCGCTTTCGCATTACTTCGGGTTGGGGCTATTTGGTTTCACCGCTAGGGTGTCGTAAAAAAACTATGCTGAAGATAAGCGCCTCCTCATTACTCTTCTTCTGGTGTCACTTCTTTCGCAGGAAAAAGAAGTATGGAGAGCGTCTCTCGCGTAGGTTGTCGCAGTCGGAACAGCCTGGTTTCGCGACTTTCCCCATCTTATGGAGGTAGGTCTGGAACAGGCTGTGCCCCGTCAAAAGTTGCGTCAAATAATAATTTATCACGCCATGTTGGTGATTGGTCCAAGTGTTAAGCTGGCCAATTAGACGAGACATTGGTCTTGCCAGGCCCTCCGGGTGTTGGTTCTGGCAGTCTCTTTGGCGTACATCAAGCCGAGAGCAGCTGATGGACGAAGCGTCGCTCCTGGACAAGGAGGTCGATCGGGATAACCTCCGTGACCACCATTATTACAGGCTCGGAGATCGTGAGGTAGGAGCACGTTGCCCGAAGGGCGCCTCTTTGTTGCATTGCGGCGAGGTGCTTGCGATACTCTTCGTGTCGCATCGCGTCGGCCAACACTTCGGCGCCGTACAGCATAATAGTTTCGGTGGTGCGCATAAGTAGTCGCCTCTTGCAGGGTTGCGGGTCTCCAATGTTAGCCATAGTCCTGCTCAGCGACGCCGTTACCGCCGCTGACTTGTTTGCCGTCCGTCTGTTCTGTTCCCAGAAAGTGAGTTTAGTGTCGAGCACTACCGCCAGGTATTTCACAGTTGACTTGGTTTAGACCGTCACGCCTACTACCTGCATAGGGCGCAACGAATCGATGCGACTCTTTGTCAGAGTTTCAATCGGTGGTCGTCCATCCAGGAAAGTACGCGACGCATGACCTAAGAGTGATAACGGCCGCGGTGATAACGGCCACAACGTCATCCGCGTACCCACTCAGGAAAGTGCCTCCGGGCATGTTCATATGTAGGATATCGTCATAGAAGATGTTCCATATGTCCGGTCCCAGTATGGACCCCTGGGCAGCCCGTGCTGTCAGCTCCTTCCTTTTCGGTCCATCCTGCGTTTCATAGATGATGAAGCGGTCCTTCGGGTAAGGTAATCACCGAGAGGATCCGGAGGTGATACGCGGGTACCTTGAAGTCCTGCTCCAACGTGTATAGGGCGTACTTCCACCTTACCGAGATGAAAGCGTTCTTAACACCCAGGGTTACCAGAATACAAACAGGGAGGGAGAAGTGATTTCCCCGCTCCGTGCCTCTGGCCTCTTCCACTACCTCCTGGACGGCATCGATCGTCGACTTTCCTGCGCAAATCATTTCGGCGCAATCACCGGCGGATCTCACGATGGCGCTGGAGTTCCTTCTTCGCCGTGTTATGTGTGGCAGACTTTTGGGCTGCGTCGAGATAGCGTTTACAGGCTTTTTGCGCAGCCCGTCTGAGCTTTAGACATTTGCGTCTTAATTCCGCGATCTCGTTCGTGCACCAGTAAGCAAGACGTCGGTCGCTTCGCATTCTTATCCACGGCAGTGCTTGCTCACATTTTTGGCGTACGACGCGGATCGTATCACTCGTGATGGCTTCGGCTCGCTTGCAAGTTGTCAGGTCATGCGGAATTCTGTCGGAGGCTCGCTGACCGTGCTCTAGGGCCAGAGACTGCACCTCGGTGTTCTTTTTTGCGACGTTATACCTGGGGTGGGGGGACACTGCGTTGGAGTGGGCTGGCCCAGGCACCACACACGGAACGTGATGTACTGGTGATCGCTGGTTGTATAATTCTCGATCAGCCGTCAGCCCTGCACTCGCGCCACCAGGCATTCTGTCGCTAGGAAGACGTCTATGATCGTTTCCCTGTACCCAAGCCTCCTAAAGGTCGACGACGATCAGGTGTTCAAAACTATCAGCCCTCGCCTGGACGCAATGTCAATTGCCCGTCTTCCTCTGGAGTCCAGGCGAGTTTCACCCCACTCGAGAATTTTCGCGTTCAAATCTCCAGCCACTACCAGATCCCCCTCCATGGCCCGGACTACGTCTTCCAGGCCGTTAAGTTTGGCCTGGAAGTCGTTGATTCTTTCGTTAGGCGTGAGGTATCAGCTGATGTCAGCCACGTCTCCGCTCGTCACCCGCACGTATCCGCTGCCAATCCCGTGACTCCCTGCAGTCCCGACTTTCGTGGCCGCAACCGAGGCATCTGAAACAACGCTTAACCTCTTTGCACCGTATCAGTCTGCAGTTGACCTACCCTACCCGTAGCTTTGCGACGGCCTCCTCCTCGACCGCCATGATGGACATGCGTTGCTCGGCCTTGTTAGACCTGGTCAGCCGCACGCCGATCAGGCCTTCGTGGCACTGCAGGCGACTGTGGTGGCTTCTTCGACATCCTCAGCTGTGATGCAGCTATCAATGTCCCTGATCTCTAGGCTTGGCCTG